TGAAATTAAGGATCAGTCAATAGAATTGCAATGTCCGATTACGAAACATCTCAGTGAAATTTACTCTGCCTTTAGTAAGAAGTACTCAAGTGTTTAGCTAACTAATGTTTATTGAACAGTTAATTTGGAAGATTAAACAGTGTTTAGTCTTCCAAATTAACCAAGTCTTTGTCTGGGGACACACTATGTGGGATATTATAATTTCAATGCTATTGCGCTTTGAAATATTAAGAAATAAACTTATGCTGTCGGTAGTTCCAATCGTAACCTGGTTGTGGTTGTTTGCCTGTTCTATTTTTCATGAAATGCCAATAGTATCACCACTATTAAACATTTTCTTGCATTTGTGTGTTCAATATGTGTTGTAATGTGTAATTAAACCATCAACAAAGCAACTTTTACTGGAAGGCGGTGTTTGGAAATGGCATCCTACAAAAACACGAAACACAATTGTTCCAGTTTTAACTGATGAAATGCAGGTCTAATGTAAACTTGATAAAAATGCTGTAAATATATAACATCACAAACTATTATGGCATAGTCCAATGGTATATTGCCTGTGATAACAGTCAACATTGCATCTTTAGGCTACGCATGAATGGTTATGAATGTTAAAAGTAAATTTAAAGTAAATTGAAGGACGTAAAATTTGTCTTTTTAAAGTTTTGCGAATGGTTACTCATTTAACACAATAATTATGTTAGTTTCTATTATCTGCAGTAAAACTGAGAATTGAAGTTGTAACTCACCTAAGGTTCAGAAGAAATGTGTGTCTCTCAAATTTACATCAAAGTCAAGTTTTCAACACTTCCATCGATGCTGATGTTTTGGTGATGTGTTTCTCATGTCGTACACAAACATGAAATAAAAATGTATATTAGGATAATTTATATATAAATTAAATTTCATATATACATCTACGTTTCTGTCAGTTTTAAACTAGTTAAATTTATTGAATCCTTTATGATCACATCACTCTTTAGATCGTAAATTTTAAGGGTAGCTAATTCCTAAACTGGCCGCCAGAGATATACCCCAATGCCATCTGGTGGTAAACTCCTGAACTCATTGCAGGCCCAATGTAAACAAAGCAATATTTTGCATTGCGAGAGCTCTGTTTTATACAGGTTATTCAATTTAATCAAACTTCCGCTATCGTTTATATACATTTTAAAAGCTACTTAACTTTATACTATTATATTTATTAAACTCATAGGATGTTTTTTTTTTACTAAAATATATAAAATGTAAATAATTGCATTTGCCTCTCACAGGGATGTAAGTGAATTAATACATCCATATGAGAGTAATTGTTTTTGTTTTTTGTCGCTATCCAACTGTAAGTATACCATTCTCTGCGAAGCTGTGACTCGACTCGCCCGGGTCGAGGAACGGCTTATAAATAATAATTATAATTATAATTTAGAGAAAATAACATAATATACCGTACTTGTATACTGTCTCCTCTAGTCTCTAGTCCAATCCCACTCCTGCATTAAATCTGAGACAAATCATAACATATCACAACTGAAGGTAATATGAAAGATTTGGAAGTAAACATATCACACACATTAGTCGACTCTTATGTCTCAATGAGATATCCCTTAGCTATAATTTAGAACAAACCTAAATTATTTTTATAATGCAAACTTTTAAACGGAAATTTTCTCTCAATTAAAAAAAAAGATAATATTTAACATGAAATCTAATGACAATACGACGTGGTAAAGTAATCCAAATTTCAAAATCCAGTCCAGAGAGATGAGTTTACAAATTGGATAACAAAATATTTGATTTAATTTAATCACAAATCATAATGGAGGGACTAATCCAATATCTAGGAATAACTTATTGTCTAATATATCTATCCTTGTTTTGTTTTCTAGATACTGTAGGTAGATGTTTGGATCTAGTGTAGGGTGATGCCCAACACATAGTATTACGGACCTTATTGATATTACTAATCAAATAGATTACGTTATTATTACGCATCAAATTTACCAAATTGATATCTTTGTCGTCCAACTTCAGAGTCTCAAAAAATGTATTGCTTCTAACGTTTTACTTCCTTCTGTAGATGTTGTGTGCTTACTGTAGATGAAGTTTGTTTTTAAAACTACAAATTACTGTATACATTTCAAGCGATTTATATTTGCTTTAGATTTAGTCCTATTAACATTAATTGAACAATTACATTCTATTTATATGTAAGCTATTGCTCTTATATTAACACTCCATAGACGTGTACTTACTCAATCAAATAGTACAATGTAGCCGTGTATATCCACACATTTGACGTGACGTGTGACAATCTGTTATACTTTTGAGTCTTGAGAGGTTAAGTTTCGGTGTTTTTTGGATCCCATGTCTTCCGGGATGAACAATCTTCTTAGGAGATGACAGATCCACTTGTTTATACCAAGAAGTTGCCTAATATAAGTATATTTAATAAACTAGATTTCGTTTAAATTACTGTGTGCATTGATTGAATTAATATAAATACAATTTTCAATATCCATGGCAACAAAAATAAATCTTTTGTATGAAAAACTATGACGAAAGCTATAAACAAAGATAGGCCTATATTTAAGTTTATGAATTAGTAATTCAGTATTTTTTACTACCTAATTTAAAAACCTGTCAAATTTCAATTGTGATATAATAACACGTTTTCAATGGTAAAAGAATTAATTTAGTGTTAACTAAAGCAAATGAGGACATTTTCTGTTAATTCACTACAACTAGTTTTTAGAGCAATAGATTATTTTTTAGCAAATAGAAGTGGTAGTGAATTCAACTTTGGTTAGGTTAGTATAGAGTTAGATAAACCTAACCTTACAACATTCCTAACCACAGTGGTAGTGAAATAACGGAGAAGGACCAGCAAATTTTGAGCTCCATCTCACTCTATAATAATCTCATTTTCGACATTTTACTAATTTACATACCGTACGAGTCTTGTTTCTATTGACAATTATGGTAGTGTTTTAGGGCAAACAATAATTACGCTAACTGACCTGAGTCAGGTAGTCGGGTATTCCTGAATTGCGCCAACTGGGTCTCATATAAAACAACATTTTCAGTAACAGGTGTGTTTTGCGGCAGATTCATGACCCTGTGCCTTCAATAGACCCTTTGTATTAGTTGTGAGTTCTCAGAACTTTGGAATCTCCCAAATCGCATAGGAGGCATTGTTATTATATGTGAGGATATTATATTATGTAGGAGGCATTGAGGTATAGATGCATGTTAAAATCAACAGGCCGCCGTGTTTGGGCACTATGTTTGACAACTATAACACGTGATATTCGATAACATTGCAAATGTATCTTTCACACAGTATCGGTACGTCCAGAGTCCACGTCGATTCAGATTTTCGGCGGCAGGAATGGCACATGCATTCAAATGGAAGTGGCCGTAGTGGCTGCCCGTTTCCGAGCCCGCATGCAGGAACCTGCTTACCGAATTCTTCATTCTGGTTTCAGATTTTGCTCGTATGCATACTATTTAGTTAAATAAATTATGTTTTATAGTAAAATATCTATTTTTTTCATTCTTACTTTTAGGTTTACCACTAAACGGTCTTAAGGTTTTTTTGTTTTGTAGGTGACATCAGTTTCTTACAATACGTTGTCCAATTTTAATATACATTTCGGTGGTTTCACTCAACGCAATATAGAAAGAAACTATATTATTTATAGCTATAGGAAAAGAGATATATAATATCATGAACAACATTTTTCACTGGCTGTAACTTCACAAAAGTTTCAGACCTTATCATTTCACACGTTAATCCCTCATCCGACAATTCCATAACGACTGACTCGCTTCTTTGCCAACCGAGTCAGTACCGGTGGCATATTTCCTGCTTCCACTGTGACCACCAACAAATCATCTGACTCAGATTAACCACGCGCTGAGAATTTGTATCTGAATCGGTGTGCACCCTAGACATACCGTATGGGTTTTCTACATTGAAGGATGTAAGAACCAGCATAATGGAGCTTTTTTTTGCTGCTTCTGATGTATTTAAAATGAAAAGCAATCAGTAAAATGTTCAAACGACATAAAGACCAACACAACAGCCATCTTCCGCAACTCTCTTGGGTAATACATATAGCATATTTCTAGAAAAATCCAATTAAACTTGAGAAATACAGGAATAAAACCTATTTGTTATGTTATAGTGTTAAGTGTGCCCTAAAAATGTCTCTTACCTGAATAACTGTTTTTTGTCTTCTTCTACTTATTTTCTTCCAGAGTCGGTTGAAAATATACAGGTTATGATATTCAGGTGATTTGCTGATCCCAAAAAGAACAGGGTTCATCAACTGACAAAGTAATTTTTTTGTCCATTACAAACCACGTATGTTGTTGGTTTGATCATTAAAAAAATTTTTTTAATATGACAACATAAAACATCAACAATACATGAAACACAGTAAAAAAGGTGTCAGAATTTATAAAAGAACAAAAAGTCTTTTTTTATAGGCCAGGTATGTTCACACACACACACATATGCACACACAGGCGCTGGGGATTAGGACCAGCCGTATTTCCATTTCGTTAAATATTCTATTGTACTTAACCAATCAAAATAAAACTATTTTTATTTGTAACTTTACTTTGACTAAACGGAGTATTCGGTGAGGTGACTAATGGGATTTAGGCCTAGCCACCCCAGCTACTCGTCACCAGAGCAACTTACCCTGTCCCTTGCACCCTTGAGTGTGGGGGTGCATGAGACGGAACTTGACCTGGCCTCCATCGGCATTCTGAATTTGCTAATATTATAGTGCACTTTGCAGTCATGAACTAAATGTGTTGATTGTCTGCTTAAAGTATTTAATGTTACATATAACAAAATCAACTATTAAGCACATGAAGCAGAAAGCATGTAGCCCTATCAACAAATTCTTAGCAACTGTGAAATTTTATAAAAATAGAACACATGTAATTACTCTCCAATAAGGCGATCAATGATTCATTAAACATCATAAATAATAATTTATTAAGAATAAGATAATAAGCTTAATACAATTCTTTTTAACAAACCACACATGAAAATCTGTAAGAACAGCCCAAATTATAAAAATTTCAAAACTCTTAAGTGATAAGTTTGCATCTAGGTGAATTTTTCTAAGAGATTAGACCAGTCAGGATGTCCTTGATGTAGGTTGAAGGATCAGTGATTTCGTTCAGGAAACCTGAAACAAAACAATCAGGGAGTTTTAGTTCCACAGTTCTCTTGAATAAGGAAAGAAAAGGATTGTCAGTGACTCATTCTGTGCTGAGACCTTTGTTCCAAAAGAACCACAACGGTCTACAGCTAGATTAGATGGATAGCCTGAACGTTTGTTTTAGAAACAGATTGGAATGAAAGAGAATGTTAATACAATCACAGCAGGCATAGGTCTGAGAAGGGGTGACATACACTATTCAACTTATTTGCACCTATCATTGTTCGAGGCACCTCCCTCATGTACGCAGGAAATTTCTACACAGGATTCATCACATAACAAATTTTCAGTGTCAGGCAATAAGGTGAAATAAAAAAACCATCAACTATAGGTAGCTGGAGTCCTAACCCTCAAAAGACCTTGCTGAAGTTGTTCCAATATTTTATATCTTTCCAATGTCATTTAACAAATTGATTTATTTTGTTTCTGCTCTTCACATTACAATGACGTAACTTACCAAGGACGTCGCATATCTCCTCGAAGGACGTGGCAGGCAACAGCTCGTCTGTGTAGGCAGCCATCAGTCTCTCAGAACACTTGAGCAGAGTCTCGTCATTGTGTCTGATGTAGTCTGCCAGAGTGGTAGGCCATTGCTCCTCACTGCTTACTGAGATACCCTGCAATGGAATGAACATTGTGATTGTGAATATTCTATAAAATATAGGATGCAATAACATACTGACCTCACAAGTTTCTTGATGATTCTATTCTATAAGAACTGGAAAACATAAATTATAGAGCTTACCCTAGTTTTTCCATCAGTGACAATTTGTAAATTATTATAGCCTGTATTCTAAGTTGTCATGCGAGAATTATTTTATTCATTATTTTTATTTTACAAGCGATCCCGACCTACCTTGAAGTACTGCTTGTATATGATGTCCACCAGACCGAAGAAGACCAGTGTGCTCTTGTAGACACTGTAGTCAGCAGGCGCAGGGTCTGTGATGGTGTGTGCGCTTGAGTGTCTCACATGAGCCAGCACTAGCAGACGACGCAGGTGTGCCAGGCGAGTCACACGCCAGCGCCCAGGTGAGTGTAGACACAGAGACAGCGTGGCCCAGTACAGTGGACCCTCCGCCTCGTAGCTAGACTCTATCCACCGTTCTGTAGCGGCACACTCCAGGTAGGTGTTGAGGTTCTTCTCTTCTCTACTGCCACATCGTGTCCTACAGAAAAGAATTGTAGGATCAATAGCAATGTTGATATTATTCTATGTGGTGATTTCAATGTGGATTTTCTTGATATTGACTGTAATCAACGAAAAGAAGTAACTAATACATTTAATGCTTTTAATCTACATTTGGTTACATTAGAAATCACTAGGCCTAATATGAGAAAAGGTAAAATTGTCAAACTTGGAACTTGTATTGATAACATCGCAACCAACATTCACAGAGATAACAGGACTGGTTGTGTTGTTCCCACCCTTGTATCAGATCACTATGCAATTATGTTATCTACTAGATTACATTTCAGGTGTATGAATGGGCAAAATAGTTTTAGGATCTCACGGCCCATTAATAAAATGAGTGGTGTTATATTATGTTCAAATTTAAGTAAAGTAAAATGGCTACTAAGCCATTTTATGTTTTGTTTTAACATCATTTAATGTTTCTAATGAATAAACACTAGTTTATTCATTAGAAACATTAAATGATAAATTTGACCTTTTTTTGAATATTTTTTTAACCCTAGCAGTGGCCAACCGTCGTCTGGTTACGGTATGACGTTGATGCTTAGAATGGCCAAAGTCGTCTGGTTACGGTATGGGCCGAAATTTTTTTAACGGTAAAAAAACACTTACAATCAACTCAGATTAGAATAATATATATACCATTCGAAAGATCACATTCTGAACTTTCATTTGATTACATAAACAAACCCTGTAGCAGGTATATAACAATGTCACGACGATTAGAAATCAAATGAAATTTTGGCGCGGTACGACTTTTGCAGCCGACACTTGGGAACTGGCAAAACACGTCTTGTTTGGCATTACCCTGCTCGGGTAATTTTCGTCTTGGGATGTTGCGGGTGATACCACTGGATAGCCATTGATTTTATCTTCATTGTGGTAGTGATATTTATAACTAAATATTGATTGCACAATCGGTACGATTTTATGAAAACAGCTGTTTTCGAAATTTCTAACAAATGGCCAACAGTCGTCTGGTGACAGTATGGAAAATACGAATTATATACAGTGAAAGTTATTATTACTAGTCATATAGTATATCATTTTGAAGAGGAAGAAATTTAGATTCAGAGAGTGGCAGCCCTGCACTCAGGGTTATTTCTGTATGCTCGCATGTAGACAGTGATGTAGACGACGGAAGTGAGTCATTACTGCCACAGTCTGTCAGCTGTCTTGTATTGCCATTGTTTGTTTGTGTTGTTGTCGTAATACCGCGATTTATTACTAAATATGTTATTAGTTCGTAGTGTTAGTGTAAGTGAAGTGTTGTGTGTGTGTATAACAGTTATCTTCATGCATAAATATTACTGAATTGTGTGGAATAGTGTTCATAAAAGGTTGTATTTTGTTAGCATCATGTCCTAAAATGACGATTCTGACATTCAGAGATTGTTGTACCTATATAATGATATACCCAAGAACCCAAGGTGTTATAAATTTTTATAAAGGTAAATGAATACACTACAACATGTTTATAATGGTTCGGGGGTAAACAATTTTGTAAAAAAGTTATAGCCTATACTAAATAGGCCTACTACTGTAGGCTATTTTGTTAGCATCATGTCCAAAAATGACGATTCTGACATTCAGAGGGGTTATAATGATTTACCCAAGGTGTTATACATTTTTATAAAGGTAAATGAATACACTACAACATGTTTATATTGGTTTGGGTGTAAAAAATTTGGTAAAAAATTATATAGGCTACTAAATACTGTACACTCCATTTTCTCGAAATGCGCAAAAAATTCAAAACGTTCTCAAATCGATAGGCCTACATAATCATAGGTGAAAATAACTTTTTACCATCATACTTATGACTTTTTTGGATTCCTTACTTCATTGGCTTTACAAATATGTAGGCTACATATCATCAGCCTACATAATGTTTCACAACACAAGCAAACACTGTAGGCTATAGTTTACACTTATTTGCGGTTTTGCGGTTATTGTATTATTATGTCCCTATTACGTACCTACAAAAAAAATATTTCTAACATGTTATACATTTTTATGTTGGTAATTGAATACACTACAAGATTATTATGTTGGTTTGAAGTAAAAAGATTTGGTACAAAAGTTGTATACTAAGTACTGTGAATTTTGTTTTTCGAGAAATCGCTAAAATATATAAACATTATTTTATATACGTATGTTTATAGGTAAAAAATTATTTTTACCATAAACTTTATGACTTTTTTTGATTCCTTACTTCATTAGCTTTACAAACATGTATATATCATTATTAGTATACACATGTATTATAGAACTTTTTACAACATAAACTAACACTGTACGGTTCTCAATTTTTTCGGTTCTCCGTTTGTCATTATATTTCGCCCCAAAAACTTATAAAAAAAAAATATTTTCCTAACATGTTATATATTTCTATGTAGGGAATTAGATTTTCTACAAAATGTATATAATGAATTTCCCATAAAGAAATCCGTAGAAAAAAAATACCAAGGCCGCTTTTGAAATTTCAAAAAAAAAAATTCAAATTTTTTTATTTTTTTCACTTTATCGATAAAATACACTGTCTAAATCATTATGATATTACTATTTCTAGATTCTCCTGTTCTTTCTGAACAAAATGAATATGAGGTTGGCTAGGTTTACTTGTACGGTTGAATTTTTACGAATTTTCAAAAAAAGGTCTGCAAAATCGCCAAAATGGGTTGGCCATTCCCCACTTCTAACATTGGCCACTGCTAGGGTTAAGTGTTTTAGATTTTACAATGCCAATCAGATTGGTAGCAGATAAGAGAAGTGAGGATAAATATGACAACCGTTGGTATACAAATGAATTGCAGTGTTTGGAACAAAAATGTATTGAGTTTTTGGATGAATTTAAAATGACAGGAAATAAAACATGCAAAGAGGAATACAAGATAACTAAAAGAACATACAGAAAACTTATTAAAGAAGCAACAACAAACAAAATACAACTCAAACAATATATCTACAGCAAAGAATAAGTCGAAAGAAATGTGGAGTATAATAAATAAAAAAGTTAGTGTCAATAGAAAAAGCAAAAGTAAAAATTCTCTCGACCCTCAATCTTTAAATAACCATTTCTTAGACTCTGTAAACAATTTGATTAATAATTTATCAACATCGAACAAATCTTCTGAGGTCTATATTAATGTGTTGAGGGGTATGGACACAATGGCAGATATTAGTTTTAAATTAAAACCATTTTCTGTTGAACAGGTATTTGAGAAAATTAATAGGCTAAGCAGTAGTAGATGTCTAGATGTTTATGGACTAAACTCAGATATTATAAAAATGGCTGCAGTGTATATAGTTGAAGTACTGACTTATTTATTTAATCTTTGTATTGTCGAGGGTATATATCCTGATTGTTTAAAATGTGTTAAAGTAATTCCTGTACATAAAACCGGTGATAGATTAGATTTAAATAACTATAGACCCATCAGTATTATTCCTGTTATTAGTAAAGTTTTTGAAAGTTTGATAAATGACCAAGTTGTATCGTATTTTGAAGGAAATTATCTATTTAATTTTAGTCAATTTGGTTTTAGAGCAAATAGAGGAACGAAAGATGCAGTTCAGAATCTAATTTCTTATTGTTTAGATGAGTTAGAAATTCAAAATAATGTATCTTTGAAGTTTTATGATATTTAAAAAGCTTTTGACACTGTGTCCCATGATCTACTACTACAAAAACTTGCCTTTTATAAGTTTGAAGAAAATACTTTAAAATTTTTTGAATCATATCTGTATAGAAGATATCAAAGTGTTTATTGCAATGGTGTTTTTTCTGATTATAAAGAGGTGTTACATGGTGTCCCACAGGGCTCAATTTTGGGCCCAGTATGCTTCATCATTTACATTAATGATTTGCCTAAAAATATTCTAAACCTCAATGTTAAGCCTTATCTTTTTGCAGATGATTTAGCAATACAAATTCAAAGTGAGAATTTGCTAAATTCAACAGTAATGGCATACAAAGCAGATAGCTTAATCGAAGACTGGTGTAAGGCCAATAAATTGTTTTTAAATATAGAAAAAACTCAAGATTTATGTATTAGTTTTAATAATAGGCATAGTAAAAATTGTGTAAAATTTTTAGGTGTTTTTATAGAATCTAACTTAAAGTGGAAAGTTCATATTGATTATACAGCTAAAAAACTTAACAAAGGAATATTTATAATAAACATGCTTAAGAACAGTGTAGATTTTAATACCTTGAAATGCATTTACTATGCACATATACATTCCCATCTAAGTTATGGAACAATTGTATGGGGAGGTAGTAATTATAAAAAAAAACTTTTGTCATTGCAAAAACGAGCAATAAAAATCATGTACAATGTTGATTTTAGTACACACTGTAAACCATTATTTAGGGAGGCTAATATTTTAACTGTACAAGCAATGTATATTTTAGACTGCCTTGTGTTTGCAAAAAATAGTTTTAGTAAAACAGACACACATGAAAATGTACACAGTTACAACACACGAAACCGCTGCAATTTTATATCTAGACAGTGTCGATACAGCACCACAGCTACTAGTTTTATTGAAAAATCCAAACAGTATTATAATATGTTACCTAATACAATAAGATGTTTTAATTGTTTAAAATTTAAAATAGTACTTAAAAACTACCTGTTAAACCTGTGTCCATATAGAGAAATAGACTTCATTAATGATGTTAAATTAAACCTAAGTTAAAACCTTTAGTTCTAAGACATTTCCTTGACTGTGCCATGCATGTAAACTAGTGTAACGGCAATAAAGCATTCTTATTCTTATTCTTATTGTTATCGTTATCAGTATAAATAGAAATATTTCAGAGTTCATTTGGGACCTTTTTGTGAACTACCGGAACTTTAAACTGCTTAAAATAATTTCACTGATAAATTTTTAATTCCTGCACCCAGTAAATCAATCAACAATATAAATAAGAAAATACAATATTACATCATAATATTAAAAAAAGAAATGTGAAATAGCTATATAACTAGAACATTATTGAATGCATGTTTGCCAGGAAGGAACCTACCCAAAACAGATCCCACCGCTCAAGTAGACACACATTCCAATTTTGTTTAGTCTAACTCTAAACTGAGAATAGGTAGGTATATTATTGTTTATCTACGTTTTATATCTCATAGTGGCACAGGGTTGTAAATTTTACAATACATAGTAAAAATAAGGGATACATTATGAAATTAAAGTCAGGAGTGTGTATTAAATTTTTAGGTGTGTTGCTAACTTCTCGGCCTTTGGTGCAAAACGGACAGGTTTGATTTTCAGAATATCCACAAAAATTTAAAGAGGTTGGCACTGCTTTCCCTTGCACACGTTTGACTTTCTTACATATAAAAATTTAAAATTTTTTTTATATATGTGGTTTACAAAAATCTAACTATTGTGACATACTATACCATTGGGGGTTTTCACCCATTTCAAGTTATTTAGTTAACCAAACACCACAGAGTACTCACGTGTTGATCACATACAGCGCCATGTGCAGCAGGTAGGGTATGAGGTGCATGTTGGACTGCGGTCCACCACCTCCAGCATCCTCGTGAAAGCTCTTCTCCTGCGCGAACCTCAACAGCAGCAGTTTGAGATCATGAACCGTGGACACGTAGCTGATGTCTCTGTGACTAGTGCACTCCTGTAGATAGGTGTTGTGTCTAGCCAGACAACTGGCGAAGGCTGACTCTGGCACCTGAGGACCCCACAGTGGTAGTAGTCCGTTGCACCGGGTGTTGGCGTTCTGTAGAGCCGCTGACTCCCACTCGTCTCTGGCACGCGCCAGTCTAAAACACAAAATCTCATCAAAAACTGTCAGTTATTCGACACAGTAGAGCCTTAAACAAGCATCAAGGGTGAGATCAAATTAAAAAGCTTGGACACTAATGACTGTAAATAAAGTTTTATGTTTAATGCTAAGAAAAGGAGAGTTTGGACTGTTCTTATTCAAAAAACCTTAACACGTTCGCTGCGACGGATGTTCCGGAACGTCAGCGGGGCCACGGCGCCAGGAGCTAGGAGCGTTCCGGTACGTCACCGTTCATCGTTGTTTAACGTTTCCATGGATCAGGAAGCTCGTCACGAGCGTCCTATATATCTTTGCAGCTCGTGGGGACGTACTTTTCTGACATTAAAAAATGTAGTTTCCCAAAATCACCACCAGGGTTGTATAAAACAGGGCTTTGTCCCACCTCTTTCCTGCTAGATAGCGACATTACTTTACCGACTGCAACCTGGGTAGTGCTGCTATCTATAGACATCCCAAGAACAAAACAACCTGTGCAGAAACTAAAAGTACACGTGGTTCGCGCCGGTAGGTGTGGCGTACCATTCAAGCCTGCGCGGCTCGAAATGGCCCAGGGTTCTTTTGTTTCTGGTATGTCTATATCAGAATCGCTTGGTACTATATCCAAAGCCAGTTTTATTGCAGTGCAGAACATTGCTATCCAGTATAACTACTGTTGTTTTTACTACAATTCAGTGTATCATATCAACAGCAATGTTACGCAGCAGCGAGCGCTAGTTCAGCTCCTGGCGCCGTCTAGCGCTCAGCTGCGATCGTGTTAAAATGCCAATGTTGATTTTATAGACATAAAATAAAAGAAAGTTTGAATCTCACAGGCAAGACAGCAAGAATACAATTTGAGCTATAGAGACATGTTTTGTAAGGTAAACTAACACTAGGACAAATTCTGCAAAATCGTTATCTATTTCAGGGATAAATATTCTTACAATCCCTAACTTTATTGTTTTTATGATGGATAGGGTACTTTTTACAGTGACAAAATATGATTTTAGAGGTAATATTTTACTACAAAACAACTAAAAAAATAAAATTGTGTTTAAATAATCTTGGATATTTTAAAACAGCTGGGTCACAACTAGAAACTAGAAACATTGTAAATCTACAACTTGGATACAAGATAAGCTAGCGTACCGGACAGCATTCATGTGGCAGTCTACATGAACCACGTTGAAGTGAGTCACCGTGCTGTAGCCGATGGTCTTGCGAGCCTTAGTCTCAGCGTCGTCCACATTGCAACGCTTGGTGTACGTGTAGATACCCAACACCTGAACAGATAAATACATGTAGATGAGTGTAAAGACTTATGAATGTGAAAACATGTCTCCTTAAAATTTTAAACTATCCCTTTTGGTTTGAAAATTAAAACTATTGGTAAGTATTAGCATTGACTATTGGATACAGAAGAAGACATCCCATCCATATGGATCAGCTGTCGCCAATTTTTTTACTAAAAAAGAATGTAGTTGTGTGAGCCAGTCACAGATTGCGCTAGTGTCAAAAACTCTATTTTGTACCTTATTTTTTGTTACTGACATAGTTACTGGGTCACAACAGTTGCTATAGCTCATAATAAGTCATTCCATCAGTTTGACTTGGTAAAAACCATCATGTAGTCGGCAGAAATCAGTAATTTAGATCAGCGCAATCTGTAGGTGGCTCACATCAACTAAGACAAATTTTATTAAAAACCTGGCTACAACTTTAACATGGGGATAGAATGTCTAGTTGTATTAGTAAATTATTCATCAATTAGGAAAATTAGTTGTAGCCTAAGATTTGTTCAAGACAGGAAAAATCAGTAAATTATTAAAAAAATATATTTTTCCCTTTTTTCTGGAAAAGTTTTTTGATGATTTTTAAATTTTTTCACTACGGTAATTTCTAAAAATTATAACAATTGCAGAGGGTTCCAAGCAAAGTTTGCAAAATCAAAATCCTAATGAAATGCAGTATTGTATGATCAAAAACTAGATATGCCAGTTGAGGTATAAAATCCCTCATAAAGTCTCAAAGTACCAAAAATTTAAATTCCTTGATACCAGCTGTTTTGAATATTCAAGGGAATCGTGAATCGGAAATGGCCCACTCTGCATGATAGCAAGGTTAAGGTTTGAGTCAGATGCTGTAATCTTTTTTAAACAATAAGAAGTAAACATATTGCAGGCCTATACCTTGCCAGGCTGGAATTTGTAGCCTTCCCTGCAGATAACACACACGAGCCCTGTCTCTTCTCCGAGGTCTTCAATCTGCTGCAGAATATTGCTTTCTGCAGTCACCTACAAACACACATACAACATTACACTCGGATGTTTTGTGCAAAAACATTTCAACATAGGTACAATGATTATTCCAAGAACATAACTGTGTTTTTTTCTAGAAAGCCTAGCTGAAACAGCTTTAAAAGTTTTAGATTTGATTAAAGTCAATTAACACGTCGAGTGCGGCCCGCACCCCGCAAGGCCCAGTCACTGGTGCTCGGCCAGGTCCCACAGAAATAAATCAATCTTTGTGGTGCGGTCTTGAGGAGTAGACGGAAATTATTGTGTGTGCGATACTAGCATAACCTAACCTCTATTGTGTGTGTTTTACCCAAAGTTCCTGCGGCCAGGTGCTCACACGTGACCTGTAAATTCCTACTCACAAATTTAATAACTGCAC